ACCGTTCTAAGGACGTCTGGTAAACATATTTCCCTATTCAAATGAATGGTCTGCATTTCGTAGGGGTGGAGATTGTCTCAAATCCTCACATCTCCCAGTCTTACTCCACCAGGTTTACACTGGATATGGAGTATGTGGGTGGAGCTGCGGGTGTTTCAAAGTGAACCAATAATGGTCACTCTGTAGGTTCAGGCGTTCTGTGGCTATCCGATGGAGACCCCAGTGACAGGCGAATCCGGAGACGCATCTTAACATAGCCAAAGGGGGCTTGGGTTTGTTTTTAAGCAGCAGCATCTGGACTAAACGCGGGTTCCGAGGTTGCAGAATACATTCCGAGAAGAAGAAATTTACCACATATGCACACACAACCCGGAATTTAAGGCTGATTATACGGTGAAGTGATCGGACGGTTTCAGCGGGAATTCGTCCTTTAAGAAAATGATAGTAGTTAATTCCCTTCAATAACTTGACAGTTATAGCAAGAAGAAGCGTGGTATCTGCTCTTCTGGAGACCGCTGAAATCAAATTTGTGGGTCTGCTGGAAACACACGCATGTCTGCTTCCTGTGGTTGGGAGTCTGTCGTTATGCTGTCTGATTTTGTTCGCCAATTTTTACAAAGCCATGCTTGACCGCACGTAGCGAAATCGAACCACTCGTCTAGAAAAATCGCTGATGAATGGCCAAGAGAAAGAGCTGATTGCTCGTGATCCTAGTAAATATGTGGTGTATTTATCTACTATCTAGTTTGACACATCGCAACTAGAGGCACAATCATTTAGACTCGATTACCAAGTCCAGCCCAAAAGACAAAACGGATTAATCCTTGAAGCCCAATTTGAGAACTTTTATGACCAGTTCAAGGAGATTCAAACCACCAGACCTGGTAAACAGACCTGATTTAGGAACAATGTGACTGATATCGCCAACGAGATTAAAACAGCAGCATAATTGAAAAATGTGATCTTACAAACCGACATCTTCAAGCGCTGCGCAAACTACGTGCTAGGGATGTGGCTATAATAAAACCGGATAAAAGTGCGGGAATGGTGATCATGAACAAGCCTGTTTACACGTATAAAATGGACCTCATACTCAACGATGTGAGTAAATTCGAACGGCTCAAAAAGGTATATGTGATGTCGAGGCCCGCGTTATCCGTCACTTTCGTAAGTTTCTCCTCCATCGTGTGATAGATACCGCCACTTGTACTGGCTTAAAGCCCAGCGGCTCAGTTACTCCGGAGATATGTGTGCTGCCGAAAGCACACACGTGTGGAGTGCTACTCCGGCCGATTCTTTCGATGGTGAATGCGCCCTAGCATAAACTAGATCGTTGGTTGCATAAAGCTCTTTCTCCACTGAGACAGTTGGTCAATCCGTACAGCCCTAAGGACTCATTTCGACTCATCGGTGACCTCGATGTGATCAACCTATTAGACAAGATCATGTGTTCTATGGGTGTGGGATTTTCCCATTAACGCGTCTATACATGAGAATGCGGGTTGTTTGTGTGATCTAGTTGAACACGCTGGCTGTTCGTTACCGATTCCGGACGAATTACTGAAAGATTTCCTGCTGGTTTGTGAAGAGAATGTAGAGTTTCACTTTCAGAACACGCCATACTGCCAGGTCGATAGAGTGGCAATGGGCAGCCTACTGGGCCTTTTACTGGCAGCTTACTTTATACTCATGATTGAAAAATGAATGTCCACAGAAATAAACCAGCTGCCACATTACAGGCATTATGATGATGACATGTTGGTTTTCTGTCCATCAAACTTACAGATTACTCAGTTGGTTAAACCCTTCAACAGTGTAGATACCAATTAGCGCGTCACCTGCAAGCTAGAATGAGAAATTGTCTTCCATTCCTGGATTTCATCTCTCGGAGAGGACGGACAGGGTAAGAGACCAGTATACCTAAAGTGGACATGGCCCGGCCAGTAGCTGAAGTTCACCAACTTTACACCCATGCGTTACAAGCTGACCATTGTTAAGACCTCCAGATGACGAGCGAGCTGCACATCCGCGTATCAAAGGCGACTGCCGCAGTTGGCAAACTGAAATAGCGTATGTGGAGGTATCACTAGGTTACAGTTGGGGCGAAACTGGATGCACACCACTCGATGGTGAAGTCCTTTCTTCTATACTGCAGCGAAAGCTGGACGACGTACCGAAAGAGTCTCCGTTATCTGGAGCGCTTCCACCAACAATGCCTATCTACCTTGGCCTCTGCGCATCTGCTGGGGTGACAGATTTGCAGGCACGAATGTGCTCAGACGCAGTGGCATCTATGTAGGGGACTGCATACTTCTGCTGAAGCACCAATGGAGGATCTGGCATAGCAGCCGCATGGATTTGACGCGGATACCCAAGCAGCCGTAGTATGCACTACTCAGTGCAAGGAAGCAGCATGTGGGAAGAGCGAAGTTGCGTCACCAGGACATGATCAAATTGAGTTTATCACGAGCTAACGTTGGTTTCAATTGTTTGGAATCAAAAGCAGTGGATCGGCGTAAATGGTGTGAGCTGAGCAAGAGGGCGATGGCCTAGGCGCATGAGAAAGCACAGCTGCGCGCGGAAAAAAACCTCGGTTGTGGAGGCGACAGGCGCAGGTGGGGGATAGCCCACCAACGACAAGCACATGGCGTTGTTACACGTGTGGTCGCGAGTGCCTCAGCCAAGGCGGCTTGGCAAATCACCAGCGTGGCCACGTGGGGCCAGCGCAGCGCTTCCTAAGTATGTTGCTGTCGATCTTCTGCATTTTACTAACTAATAAGGAATAGTAGAAGGGTGTATGGGTTTTTGTGTAAGGCCTCGTCACAGCTAAACTCAGGCAGACAGCTCCCGCACATCCAGAAAAGCGCTAGAGGGCCGTTTCGTCCTATAGGGACTCGCTAGTAGCGCGCACCTGCCAAATCTTGCTGGATCTGGAACCACGACTTTACTCATACCAGCTAGCGACTTATGCCAGTGAGCCATGGGTGACGGCAGTGGACCACCATGACTAGTATCTAACTGCGATATAGCATGGCTCACCCTCCACTGTCAAGCATGTTATGAAAGTGCAGAGGACAGGGCTGACCCCCAGAGCAATGACTTCCTTTACAAGCCGCCACCAATCAAGGTGGCATGTAAGCTGCTAAGGCGATTACTGATTACTAGTGATTTATTGGGTATTTTGTGAAGATTCATCGCGGTTAGTCTCTGCCTGAGTCTGTGCGGCTGTCTGTGGGTCTCCCTGAGTCAAGCTGCGATGAATCTCCGTTTACTAATCCAGATCAATAATGCGGCACGTATGCCGCATCGTCGTTGCAGTTGGTGTATACGTGTGCCTGCGTGTTGAATTCCTTGCATTTCAGGTGTTGGGTGTTGCTTGAGCTCCCCAGTGTGACTGTGCTTGATGTAAATGTGGACAAAGTGCCTACCTGTCAAAAACAGTTGCTTCCAGCATGCTGGCGCCAGGAGACGATTGGTCGTTACTGGGGGATGAAACACACGGTTTTGGTTCTCAAAGAGTGGTTCCATTCAGTGTGGAGTGGAGCACGGCCCAACTATAGCCTTGTGTACGTCTGAATCACTTGATTCCAAACTTAGATGAAGGGAAATCCTGTTGTTATCCATCTTGAAGGAGTGTGGTCCTGCTCCGTTGATGAAACTTGGCTCTCATCCATATACCTTCGGGTTTTATCCCTTCGCGTTTATATGGTACATGTGGTGTGTGGATGGAACTGTGTATTGTGCAGCACAAGCCACTCATAGTCTCTATTTTGGTGCAGCCGTCCTGTAGCTGTTCACCTGGAGTCCGAAGTAACGGACAAATCCGGAACCGGATACTGCCAACCATAAATATGTTCAGTAGCACAAGCAAAGTACGTCAGGCTGTACACAGTACGGGCAGTAACCGCAAGCGGGGAGTTCTCAAGCGTGGCTGATACGCGCATGCATTTATGGGAAAACATGGTTTGTCCGCAGCGGACCATTTCAACAACACATTACTTCGGCATTGCGAATTGAAAATTATATTGCATCATAGCCAAGTGAAATTTTTTCATATGAAAGCAATGTTAAGGAACGGGCGACGCTAACCCTATTTTATAATGTCATCTAGCCATAATGTCTTCATGCTTTTCCCTCTTGGGCACCCGGTAAGTAATTCTGATGGTAGGATCCGTGGACATGATTTGAAGCAGGTTTGAATGCAATCACCTAAACATGCGTCCGGACTAGTAGTCTTTATGGTAGCGGTGCAATCGTAGCATGTCCACCTTTCGACTGAACTCCTCGCATCTGATGGCCTGTTGACAATATGTCTTGCAAATGACGTGTAGTACTTCCCTTGATAATCGCGGCATCTATTAAAAGCCTGCTACCACTGGTATCGCTGAACGGGTAGCGATAAAACCGTCTTTAAGACCCCATCATGGTAACTAAGCACCTGCGGTTCTGAGGGTAACGAGCCGATGATGATGATGAAGATGATGTACCAGCTGTACGCCGTAACGGCACTTCGCTGCCGCGCGACCACCACTAGTAGCGCGCGGGCTGAGTATGCCGCGAGGACGCCCACCTCTACGCGGATTCGAACCGGGGACCTTAGGGTTGCAAACCAGGTGCGCAGACCACTCGGCCACCGAGCCGATAGTAGTCTCGGTACCACTGAACTGTGCAAGTTATCTTGGATTTTCCGACAATCTATCACCTTACCGAAAGGTACCTGCACTTAATATGAGGCTGACTGTAGCACATTGGTCGCATGGTCATTGCGCCTCCCGAACAACTTGAAACACAGTGCTATGGTAGAGTCGGAGGGGAATCAGACTATTACGTTAGTGACAAAATCGTTCATCCCCACCTCACAGATGGTCACTTATACCCCTAGCACTAATTGTCAGCACGGTGAAAACGAATCTTCTATGCAAGTGGATTAGTGATAGTTCATGTGGTGAACGATCAAGGGCAAACGGATCATTCCGGTAATTCACTGTGAAATAATTTACCTGTAATCTCTGCCAAACTGCTGTGAGTCTTCGTGGATTCTCTGGATGCTTTGCATCGTTTTGGCAAGTGCAGTGATGATTCAGCATTCCAACGTTGTATGCAAGAGCGGTAGTGAAGCCAAGATTCTGGAAAGAAGCAACAGTGCTGTAAACACATCACTTTATGACACAATACGGACCAACTTGGTAACAGAACTGAACGTATTGCACTCGGTTGTTTCAATGTACGTGAATGTTTTCCTTTGCTCGGTGAGACATTGCAATGATAAAATCAGGAGTTTGCAAATACAAATCGGCTACATTGTGAGATGAAACAGTGTAGAAGAATCCGGAGACTAGAACCAGCCTGACCCATGGGCCGGCCTAATGTATGTGACAGCTCAACAACTGCAATTTATATGTCAGTCGAGTAACGGAAGTGGCAAAAGATCACTTGCTGACCTTGATTCAAATGTGTTACTATTCGCATTATTTTTTCCCTTATGTCCCCAACGAAACGCTGCAATCCGAATAAGTGCGTTTACATTTTGACAAAGCCCTAGTGGTAAACCCTGACGAAGTCTTTGGACTTATCTTTTTATTGAAGCTCCATCGTTGGAGCTATTTTGACAAGGGTATACTGCATCATAACACTAGAATGAACTAGCAACGTTATGCGAAGTACATCGGCGAAAGATGCAAAACCGTGCATGAAATAAGTTCAGTACATTTCAGTTCAACAACTGTAAGTACAATACTAAGTTGCGAGGGTCCAGCTACCATAATACCAACCATTAACAATGGCGGGGGAATGATGCAAATATGGAGGGAAATATGAAATAAAGATTATGAAAAACGTGCATTCTTAGTCTCGGTGGATGATTAGCACCCATACACAACAGGTCGAAAGTAGAATCGTGATGGGAGTGTCCGATCAGAGCGAACGGATGGACCAACCGAACGAGCCAGACAACCAATGGAAGACGAGTCGAACGGCTTCGATTACTGGACACAGATTAGCCGACATGCGTGTGAATTACTGCCCATTTGTTTAACCGAGCCAAATGAGGAAATTCATCGACTCAGAGGGATTGTTAGTTTTGGACGTGGACGTGCAACTTCTCATGAGGAGTTTGGCTTGCCAAACATGTAATTTTCGCCGAGTTGACTTTGTTGAGTAAACGCTTGTCCCTGAAGTACTGAGTTCTGCAACGTGGTATCAGAGAATACCAAGACAAACTCCACAGACCGCGCTCGGATGCTGATTGGATCACCACCAGTTGTTCAAATGCCTACCCCGTAGAACATGCATGAACGGAACTTGGCAAGCGGTTGACGTCTACGGAAGAGCAAGTGGATGGATTTCTGCACCTTAATACTTTTGAACGATGGCCTATCACTTGGCCATGCTTAGACACGCAGCCGCGGATGATGCACGCCGTGTGCTAGAAACATTGCATTACGCCAAAGACAAAGCTCCCAATGATTTGGAGACGGTCATTGAAAGCTTGTGTGAATTTTGTGAAGGCCAGAACAATGGAAATTACCAGCGCTACTTTTTCTTTTCGCGAAGCAGCGATCCAAATGAATCCGTCGACGCTTACACCCCTGAGCTTAAGATTTTGGTTTGGCCTTGAAATTGCTGTAAATGCGTGCGTGACAGTCTCATACGCGCTCGTGATGTTCCAGGAAGCAATAATGAAGGTACGACAAAGCACCTTTTGAGGCAACGCAAATTATCGCTCCAGCAGTGCACCGATATCTGCAACGGTGAGTCCTCGACCAGCTATCAATATCAACAAGTGGAACTCACAACTGGCGCAGAAATGTGTGCAGTTTCCGGAGGCAAAACAATGAAGGCTACCAACGTGAGACAGGAGATTGCAACTTTTGCGCTGCGCGACATCCGTGTACTAGCGAATAGTGTCCAGCGTGGAGACGGAAATGCGTCAAATGTGAAAAATTATCCACTTTTCTCGTTGCTGCCAATCAACCAATGTGAGTGCACTCGTTCATAACAAGTCATACATAGAGGTAGAACATTTAATCGTCAATGTGTTTCGGAGGGTTCCACAACCGATATTAGTGACCAGTATCCGATTGGGTTTAGCCCGGGTTTGGGAACCTTTGAGGGAACCGCTCACTTGTCCTCAGATTTGCTGATAAAACCAACTGGGCTGCTGGCTAGGAGAGTTCCATTTGCGCTGCCGGACAGTTTCGTCGCTGTATTGAACAAATTAGTGAGAGAAGGCATGATTGCAAAAGTCTACGAGCCAACCGACTGGGTTAGTCAGGTCACAATCATTACGAAGAAGACGGGCGAACTGCGCATGGGTGTTGACCCGATACCGCTGAATTAGGCCCAGCGTAGAGAGCATTATGCGCTGCATACTCTAAAAACAAATGTGCCGAGTTTTGCCAAAGCCAAGTATTTCATGAAGGTAGACTTGTGTTCCACATTCCGGCATGTGGCTCTAGATGGCGAATCCAGTTTCCTTGTTAACTTTGTCATCCCGTTCGGGCGTTATCGTTGGCTGCGTCTACCGTTTGGTTCGAAAGTTTCAAGTGAAATTTTTCAAAAGCGATTGGCGCAAGCGGTACACAATTTAGATGGTGTAACGTGTGTGTCAGACAATGCTTTGTTCTACGGCTCGACGAAGCGAGAGCATGACGCTAATCACTTTTTCTCGCAGCGTTGTGTACAAACGAACATCAAGCGTAGGCGGGAGAAAATTGAACTTCAGAAAGAAGAGGTCATTTTGCATGGGCAGCTGCTAACAGCTGAAGTAATCAGAGTCGATCCAGGTAAAATTAGGGCAAATCGAAAGTGCCATCCGCTAACGACGTGAAGGGAATCCAGTGATTAAACGGCGTGGTGAATTACTTGAGCAGTTTTATGCATAAACTTGCTAATATCATGACGCCGATCAGGAAGTTAACTCACAAAGGAGTAAAGCGGAGCTGGGGAAAAGAACAGGAAACCGCAGTCGAAATTATTAAGCACCTCATCAGCAACGCGCCTGTACTCAGGTATTACGATCCAGTGCAGCCTTTAGAGGTACAGTGCGACAGTAGCCAGGACGGAATAAGTGCTGTTCGCCTACAGAATGAAAAATCTTTGGATTTCCGCAGTCAAGCACCCACATTAACCGGGCAGCGTTATGTGCAAATTGAGGAGGAGATGCTCGCGACAGTCTATGCCATGGAGCGTTTCAACGATTTTACTTTCGAAAGAAAGATAACTGTGTCTACCGACCACAAATCGTTTGCGTCGATAGTCAAGAAGCCGCCGCACGTCGTTCCTCGTCGCCTTCAGCGTATACCTATCTGGCTTCAAAAGTACAATGTGGATATTGTGTACACGATTGGTGCAAAGATGTTCATTACGGATATGTTGTCAAGCGCTCATCTACCGGTGGCCGAGTATACTTCGGAACAGTCCAAAGCAGTAAAGCTAATACAGCATCTGGCAGTGACGGAAAATGGTCTAAAAGTACAAGGCGCCACATAGAGGATGCTACAAAGTTTTCAGTTTCGTGAGACGTTATCCTAAATGCATGACCAGAGACAAAGAAGCAGCTACCGAACGGACTAACACCCTAATTCAGTTTTCGGGATGAACTCTGCCTATGATGGTTTGCTGTTCAAGGGAAGTCGTATTCTAATCCCGTCTCACTCCGAAGGGAAATGCTGAAATACGTTCATGGTGCTCTCCTGGGTGCTAACTATAGCATTAACCGAGTAAGAGACTTGATCTTGTGGCCAGGAATGACGGGTCACATCCGGGATAATGTATCGAATTGTCAGGCGTTCACACAAAATCCGGTAGACAATTGAACAAATGATGTTGCATGCTGTCCCTGATCGACCGTGGCAGAAGGTGGCGCTGGATTTATTCTGTGACAATTGGAAAGATTACTTACTTACGGCGGATTACTAGAGTGATTACTTTGAAAGCGATTTGCTCATTAATACGACCACTGAAGTGGTAATCAACAAGCTCACATGTCAATTCGCGAGGCACAGAATATTGGAAGAGTTGGTCCTGGACCACAGTAACCAGTTAATAGCGCTGCGTTCCTGCCCTTTGCAAGCAAGTGGGAATTTATGCACCAGCAACCCACTCCATATCCCAATCAACCGAATGGAAGGACGGAGTCGACAGTGAAGCAGGCCAAACGACGGTTATCAAAGGCTAGAGCTACAGGCGAAGACCCGTACTTCATACTACTGGGGAATCGCAACAGTCCTTCAACGGACCTCGGCTTGAGCCCAGTGCAGCGCCTATACATCCGAAGGACTAGAACTCTGATGCAAGGGTCTGCTACACCTTTGCGCACAGTCTCGTCACAGCATGAGCGATTACGGAACAGTATAAGAAGACGAATGACCACCCAGAAACGGTACCACGACCGCAGTGCACGGGTACTCTCTGCGCTAACCGTGGAGGGAGAACTGTGGTTGCAAGCAGTACCCGATGGTTAAGTGCGATGTACTAAAGGTGTGGTGACTGCGAGAGTCGGTGCAGGGTCATATGAAATAAATCTTAGAGAGAAAACCCTCAAAAGAAATCGAGTCCATTTGAGGCGACACCAGAGACAAAAATGTGGATTGAGAGTGCAGCGCCCTATGTGGTGAAGCAAGGCTACCACGGCCGTAGATACAGCGAAGATGACGCGGAGTGGCGAGGTGTACGGTGTGCATACTAATTTGGAGGCATAAGGACACGAAAAATGTGAATGCGTTGGAAGTGTCCGAGCAGAGCGAACGGATGGAACAACCGAGCGAGCCAGACAGCCAAGGGGAGACGGGTGTGACGGATCCGACGATTGGATACACATTGGCCGACATGCGTGTGAGTTACCGACGGTTAGTTTAACTGAGTCAAATGAGGAACTTCATCAACTCAGAAGGGTGGTTAGTTATTGACGTGGACGTGCAACTTTTCACAAGGAGTTTGGCTTGCCAAACGTGATGTAATTTTCGCCGAGTTGCCTTTACTTAATAAACGCTTGTCCATGAAGTATTGAGTTCTGCACAAAGAACCACCATTGACTCCGCAACTTTATTATGTCGGGTAAAAGCTTTAACAGTTTGGAGCTCCCGAACAGCCAGAGGGCACGCATCAAGCCAACCAACACCACACT